ACATGTGTGTATGTATTCCACATTATCTGCAGGCAGAAAACCCACACTTAAAGGAGAACTATGAGATGAGTGCTTTTCACTCACCTCATAGTTCTAGCCTACCTGTGACAATGAGACTGTCACAGGTCGGCTCAGTAGATTGGGAGGTGAGCGAACACATACCGGGTTCGCTCACCTCTCGATCCTGTCACGGCTCTCTGGCGTGACGGGGGAGGGGCTGGATTCCCCTCTCCCCGCTCCGATCTATCAGTGCTGACTGGCGGAACGGACGGGGGGGCAGGTACAGCTGGTACCTCTAGATAGGCAGAGCCAGCTGTCACTCACGCAGCTGGGCGGATCCCGTCATCTAAGTCGGGATCCGCTCTGGCTGCGGCGTCTCAGTATACCACGAGCTGTAGCTTGCGGTATACTGAGCTTATACCTGGATTTTAATAAAACCAACAAGACTAGGAAATATGAGAAAGCAACAAAAATACTATGCAAATTTGAAATAATATTGTATTCCCTATTTTCTTAGTTTACACATATTTTGAGCTATTATTGTGATGCCTTCCTGCCAGCAACCTGTACCTTTTTATATGAATGCTGCAATGTTTTTTAATTACTATAATACATATAAATATTTGTAACTTTTTATGGATTCACTTTTAGCCAGTGTGGAACTGACCGAAAAGTAAACCTGAATACTCCATGTTGATCAATCAAGAGAACATTCAGTATCAGTATTCAATGGACATGTCAGAACTGTAGAAAAACAGAAGTCAGAAAGACAGGTATTTATACATGTCAGATTGTGCAACTGCCCTAGGCTCACAAGAAAAAAATGATAGCTTGGTAAGAACTTGGTGCATCCCTTATCATGCACTTCCAACTTAGAGTTCTATACAAAGCTGGCATTTACATACATCATGATCATCAAGAATGGGACACAGTTTAGTATAAATTGCAGAGCTCAATGTCCAATAAAATCTTTATCCATAGGTTGTTTAATTCAATTTTTTATAGATGTATGTTAACCACCTCTAGTGCATTGGCCGTGCCTAAATGGCCGGACGAGAGCCTTGTAGATGCGGGTGGAATCTTAAAACTTCCCCCCCCCCCGTCCCCACTCTTCCATGACACCCAGCGCGCACACGAATGAGGAAACTGTCAAAAATGTAAACAGTCAGTGATGGCTGTTTACATACAAGCGTTCCGGCATCTGATCGCTTGTATTAGGTGTGAGTGTGCGCCTGCTGTCGCCAGTTCCGAGATCCGCTGTGCCTGGTGCCAGCTGGGACCGGCAGGGTGGCTCTGTCACCAGAGGTCAGAGAGAGAACAGTACACGATCCCCCTCTGATCACCTCTCCGGTCCCTGAATGCAGGAAGTGATGTATGTTACATCACTTCCACATTCAGCTATAATTTCCGGCTACAGAAGCCGGGGAGAAGCTGGTGAGGCAGATCTCTGCTACATCAATTTCTCTGGGGGTCCCTAGGTGACTTTAGAGAGACCCCTGATGTCTCCATAAAGGGGACCTGTCATGTAAATTAGCTATCACATAGGGAGCTTTTTATCCCCCTGTGTGATAGCAATAAAGTGTAAAAAAAGTTTTAAAAAAATGAAAGAAGCATAAAAAAATTAAAAAAACATAAAAAAGTCACATATAAAAAAAACCCCACAAAAAATGTTTGAAAGTCCCCCGTCCCCCACATACACATGCAAACATGCGTCGGGTGCACCTACCTGCAAAAACAGCGATTGCGCCTATTGTACATATCACCACAAACAAGAGTAAGAGTAATAGTTTTTAGGGCCATTAATCACTGATACCACTAAACTGATGAGTGGTAAAAGCTTTTAAAGCATCGCCTTGGGTGAGGTCGTTTTCTTGCGATTTTGCGGGCGCACACAATTTTAAAGTGTCTATTTATCCAGTTTCCTTAGCGGTTAGACGGGTTTTTTTGCATGCTAGCTGGTGAGTGTGCTGGGAAACATTTTGCTGTTGTATTTATCCAGCGTGAGCCCGTCTTTTATATTTTGCCAAAAAAATCGAGGTGATAATAAATGTTTCATAACATTTCATAGGGAAAGTTTTTTTAAAAAAATTTACGGTACTTTTTTTTGTTATGTAGTAAGAAATAAAAGCCCCAGTGGTGATTAAATACCCCCAAAAGAAAGCTCTATCTGTCCCCAAAAAATTGTCTAAAATTAATTTCAGTACAGCGTTGTATGACTGAATAAATGTCAGTCAAAGTGCCGCAGTGTTGAACACTAAAAAATGGCCTGGACAGGAAGGGGGTTTAACACCCTGGTCTTTAAGTGGTTACGGTTGCTTGTTCTAGCAATGTTAGGTCACAAGCTCCAAAAGGCTCAAATGTGCTTTTCTACTGAAACTGTTAGGGTTCTCAGCTGAACTAGAAAGGTTTCAGGTTTGTGTCTTGTGGGCTAAGCAAGCAATTAGAGAATAATGTTATCAATTTATTATCTTGAAGAAAACTTAGGGGTCTATTCACAAAGCTGCCATAGGCAGCCGAGTGAATAACCAGCCCAAAGTGTAGTGAGCCGCTGTTCGGCTATTCACTTCAGGCTTGTACGGCTGATTTCATCGTATATCGGCTGGCTGCAGGTCGGCCACACATGCTCAGCATGTTCGGCCGACCCGAAGTGCAGAAGGAGTTCAACTCAGCCGATCCAACATGTGGACCGGCTGAGCCGAACCTCCGGCAGGCTAATCGCTGCTGTTCGGCCTATTCTCATAGATGCCGAACAGCAGTGAGTGAATAGCCGAAGGCTGAGCGGCATTCGGCTTGGCTACTCTGCTCGGTACCTCTGTGGTACCGAGCAGAATAGAAAATACGTTTTAAAAGTAGAAAAAACAAAAATAGAAAACGATTGGGCGGAGCTACAGTGGCAGCTAGCTCTGCCCAACTGTTTTCTATTGGCTAGTAACCAGCAGATGCTAGTTCTGTCATTAAGATGAGAGCTTAGCAGAGTCGGCTTTCATATCACTGCCGGCTCTCCTAAGCTCTCGTCGTAATGACACATGGGCGTCCCTGGTTACCTGGTAACCTGGGACGCCCATGTGTCATTACATACTGAGAACCTGTCGGAGCTGCTGTGATTTTAAAGCAGCTCCGACGGGTTCTCGGTATACTGAGGAGCCGCGGTGTAATGACAGAAGGTGTCCCTGGTTACCAGGTAACCAGGGACACCTTCTGTCATTACACACAGAACCCGAAACCAGGTAACCAGGGACACCTTCTGTCATTACACACAGAACCCGTCGGAGCTGCTGTGATTTTACAGCAGCTCCACCGGGTTCTCAGTGACGCTGACGCAGAAGCAGGCTGTCGGCCAGCCAACGGCGGGCCGTTCGGCCAGCTTCGATTTACCCCTGGGCTCAGTCGAGCCGAAGCATATGCCTTTGGCTCGACTGAGTCCCTCGGCCACCTTCGGGGGCTGTACGGGCTATAGTGAATAGCCCGTACAGCAGCCCTGAACCAAGGGGGTCCGAAGTTACGGATAGATCCTTTGGTAGCTTTGTGAATAGACCCCTTAATTGTTTTTGAACAGCAGAAATGTCCTCAGATGTCCTTTTTTTATTGTAACAGAGTGGAGCTCTATTCCATGTTAAAAGGAAACTGAAAGCTTTTCTGATCTGGTGAGTACAACTGCAATGTCTTTATTTCATCTACAGTTTCCCTTAATATGCTTTATTTAAGGGAAATATTGTTATATGGATGCAAATGTTTTTTCCATGATCATGATCATAATGGTACTGGAGTATGCAAACTTGATTGTGATAGTAAAGTGTATTTTCACTTCTGCAGCCAAATTGGGATTAAACATCCAAATTTACAAAAGCATAAACATATTTTTTAAAATGCTGCTTACCTTTTTACTTGCTCTTTTCTTAAAATTCTAATTCTGAAGTTTTCCTCTTCATGTTTAATATTAAGGAGGGCACTGTAGACTTAATGTTTACCCTGCCTGTACTATGCTATCAGATCTTATTATCATCTGTATACTAGTTTTGAACACTGTCTGCCCTAACAAAGGGTTAAATATCTCAAGGCTTGGGTGGAACGTGGTATGTTAATGCATTTTCTTTATTGTATCCCTCATATTGTCCCTCTAATTGCACTTTGAAATTGTTCAGACCAGTATCCCGTTGTGCCCAAAGAATAGTAACATCCACAGCACAGAGATGCTTGCAGACAGGCTTTTACAAGAGGTCTAAAGCTTAACAGGATACATGGAATACATATTCTATTGATGAATATTCTGTATACTGACAAAGGTTATTTTTCACCCATATCAACACCCTCATTGCCAATTTAACAGGTTTCTTCATTGCATATTGAAAGCTAAAAACTGAAAGCAGTATGGTCAGTGGCTGACAACAAAACACTGCACTTTTCATTTTCCTCCCATGATGCATTTGTTAAAGCAGATTATATATAATAAATTACATAATCTATTTCAAAATATATTAAGATGGGTATTTCAGAATTGTATTTCATATTAGGATTTTGCTTTTTTTTTTTTAGACAATTTCTTGTTAGTTTTAGTGTGTGCTTGGAGTTTAGCATTAAAGCCCTACTCTAGGCATGGTTAACGCCATGGTTAACGCCTTTGTCATATCTTTATTACTGTCTAAGTTCCTGCTGGGTAAGGACAGGAAGTCATTGGAAATCCTTCCAATAGAGACACAGACAAAAACATATTTGTAATAGAGGGAGAAGGGTTATTTTTAATAGAGGGGGAAGGGTTAGATCTTTTATTATGGTTTTAAGTGCTGTCTATATTGTCCTGTAGGGATGACAAATGCCTCATCTCTTGCTATGGCTGAAAAGTTAACCCTTCCCCACTCTATCCAAAACTAAAGAAAACATTGACTGAAGTAAAGTTAAGATAAGTTCACCTGAAAATTTCAGTGAAATAATGTTTCATTTAATTAGCACAACATGAATTTAGCTTAAAAAAAACAAATAGGCATTACCACCGATATACTTACAGCAGCAACATTCACAAAATCATCATCTGAGAGGGTTTCCAGCATCTCAGTCACAGAGGTTCTTATCAACTTCAATGTCAGCCCACTGACACTGCCGCTCCTGTAAAAGGAGGCATGAAAATGAGAAGGGTTTACAAAAAAAAAATCTGCCTGAAGTATCCTAATCATTTTAAGGTTCAATGTCAATTGAATTAATTGTAAAGCTTTTCTAGGTTATCCATATCTATACCTTCTTCCTCCTTCACATAATAGGCATTTTAAAAGATCTAAATGGCAGCTTGTCTGCTTCAGGGCAAAGCTCAAACAGGAGGGATTGCAAATGCTGATGAAACACATTGCAGTAATATAAAAGTATTCCAATCCATTTAAAGCATCAGATGTAATCTATTCCATCAAAGCGACAAACAAGAGAATAGATTTTTTTTTTTACTACAAAGCAATCTACTAGACACATCAGGCTTGATGCTTTCTCCCCCGACGTTAACCTAACAAAGAGCCCTCTGCGGAAACCAAGAGATGCTTTTAATACACTGAATCTCTCACTTTTCACTCAGTACTTACAACTCTAAATAAATGCCAAAAATAATGCATGTAATGTCAGGTAATGGGATCAATTAGGAGGAAAATGATTAATTTGGCTGGACTGTGGATATTTTGTGTTTTTTTTGGGAGGGGGTGTGTTGATGTGGAATGATATTGTTCTATCTGCAATACAGGTTTAGCACAAGTGTCTGATTATACTAAGATAAATATGAGCAGAATCTTTTAAAGTGCATACTGTCCCCTTGCAAACAATACTATCTTTTGATGTGTTTGTGTTTGATTTACTAAAAGAGCAAACATGTTCACTGAGGAATTTGAAACTTCAATCATCCCATCAAGTGCAAGGCAAAAACACTTAAAAAGAAAAAAATCCTCTGTATACAATTGGCTAATTAATGGGAATACAGTGTCACTGTGTTATTAGGTCATAATTACAAAAAGAACACCCAACACAGTGTTCTTTTACAAGCAGGATTTTGTCCCCTATCTGGAAGCCAATGACAAAGATAAGCAAAGCAGCCATGGTCCAAAAATCATAGACAGCAGTTGGAAAACTGCAGCATTCAACCCCACAGCCATGATGTGTGTGAACTGCCAAGCACTCAAAACTGCTGGGAAGGGCTGCAGTGTTAAAGAGCCCAATAAGTCCATATTTGCAAAGTGGAGCTTTATTGACTAAGAGACCTGTGAGCTAGTTCTTTTCTATTGTATATGTAGAAAGTGAAGAACAGCAAAGTAATACATAAGATAGTAGCATTGCTCATGCCAGGTTTTTTACTACTCTGAATTAGTACCAGCTATTTGTTATTATTATTTTTTAGTAAGCTGAGTTTTTTGTTTTGGTTTGTTAAAATACATTACTCTGCAAAAATGTAATAATTTATATTTATGAATTGCACTGATCTGTGACCAGTTAGCTCTGTCCATCAGCAAAAGGTATGGTTCATTAAACAGAGAAACAAAAAATAAACAAAGGTAGAATTGTTGCCAATATCAAACAATCAGATTCCCCTTTCATTTTCTTTAAAAAAAATTATGATGATGCCCTCCTTTATAATTTATATCAATATATGACATGTTATGTATGACATCAATGTTGGGCTAAAACTGTGATATGCCCTTTAAGGATGTTGTTTTCTCACTTTGTGTACTGACTCATATCCTATCTGAAAAACTTTTGACGTAAACGAAAAAAAAACAAATTGAATTCTGCTGCTTACTGTATGCGAAAATGTAAATTTGTAATAATTTTCTAGTCTCCAATTTTAACTAATGAAATCTAATAGGTTGGAGATAATAAAACATTTGTATTATGTGATATATCATCTTTAGAACAACAAATTGCTTGAGTCATGGGGGTTGATTTACTAAAGGCAAATATGCTGTTCACTTTGCAATAGAAGTTTTCCCTTAGCTTTGCGAATGAGAAGAAGGTCTGCTGACTTCCATCATCTAATCATGTGCAAGCACAAATACTGTTTTTTTCCTTGCACATGATTGAGTATTCTTTGCAAAGTCAAATTTTACCACATTCACCATGCATAGGGAAACTTCCCCTGCTAAGTGAGATTTCCCTTGCATAGTACGCAGCCTATTTGCATTATATAATGCACATTTGAGGCTGCCTCCAGATTGTATAACAACACTGTTTTTCAATAATTAGGTTTTCAGCCCCAATATCAACAAATGCTCTCAACCAGCAGTTTTTTGTAATTCCTCCCCGGGTGATTTGCTTCACCAAATCTAATAAGCCCCTCCATCCTTTGTAAGGCACTGTCACTTTGGCAGGTTCCTTACCACAGTCTACCAGGAGCTTATGTTCCTACCAGAATATATTATAATGGAACACTTGGACCTCACGTCTACAGTAACAGGGGCATATCCTGTACAAGTATACAATATATAACCAAGTAAAAAACAAAACATTTGATAGATTAAGTATCAACTTTCTTCTGTTTCAAAATAGATTTGAATGCACTTTTATAACAGCCACATTTACAAGCTCATATTCTACCTTTTTGTAAATACTTCCCAATGATAGAACTCAATGCTAACTTTAAGATCTCTGCATCACTTCCATTCTGTGTCTCTTTGGAATAACAAGAATTAGGCAATTCTTATTAAAGTATCATGCTACCAAAATCAGGGTACTATATAATCTTATTTGTCTTTCTTTAGCATTTGGTACATAGGTTCAGGATCTGGTCTTCTCACTATATATTGAATACTTAGTGGTCAATGCTGGACCTTTATGTTCGAAGTTGACACTCTATAACCCAACAAAATGTAATTGTTTTCTCGATCAACTGTATACTTTTTGATTTTTTGGTAAATATGTTGTTAAAAATTGTGTTATGTACTGAGCTTGTCTCTTGTGAAAAGAGTTTATGTAACATGGCATCTCAGTTTGTGTTAACATTGCTATTATTATAACTCCCACGCAGAATCCTATTGTTCTACTCCATCATTGTGTGCTTTGTCCTTGTTCTTCTGCTCCATGTTTTCAGCATTCTTCCTTGTCCTTTACCCCTAACATTGATTTAGGTGAATTTGGTGCTTGAATAAAACTTTCTATAAATATAACTTTTATTATAATTATGCATCTTAGAAGAGGATAAATTACATTTCTAAGAATGTTCAGCATATTCAATAAACATACGATTTCTAATATTTTCCATATGTTGGTTGCCACAAGTCTATAACAATGATCAATGGTACTAAAAACACTAGATAAATTATGAGTTTTATAAGTGTTTAGCAGAGAGGGAAACAGAAGGAAGTTACACAGATAACATAGGGGACATATTGACAGCAGACAATAGATAGTTATCAAGAAAACACCCAAAAAACAAATAGAAAGATTTATCCAAAAAATGTGGCTGCACATGCCAGCAATGCTGCAACTTAACATTGTCTATATTAATGATTCGATGGAGAAACATGTAGATGTATCATTACTACATTGTTAATGAAAACATATGTACAGCATTGCTGGCTAGAGCTTTTTGACATTTTCACACCTGTATTGAGTTGGATAAGTTGCAGCAGAAACTGTAGCCGGCATATTTGGACTGACCTGAACCGACAAAGAGTTTCTGGTGAACTGTAATCCTAACTAGTTGATTTATTAGCAAACAAGGTAAATGTGACTTGTACTTTTAGGTTTAACTTCAACAATGTCATGGATTGGTTGTTGAAATATTCATACAATGATCCTTACTTTCCTCAACTAATCAAAAAAAAAGATACCTACACATCCACCAAGATAAGCATGTCTTTTGGAGATGCAGCTCCTTGAATATACCTAAAATATAGATAAGAAAAAAGTTACAGTATTGATTCTATTTATGACAGTTATACAGGTTATTTAGTTTCACTAAATATATAACTGATTAAAATATGACATTAACAAATACAAACTTTTTTTGCATCTGTACTCTTATTACATTTATAAAGTAACAATACCCAAATGAAGCAGCTCCATAAAATGTTGGGTCTAGGATGAATGTAGAACAGAGACCTGGAATCCATGCTGAATGCAAAGCTAAAAAATTGAACCTAATTTTCACATAATAGCTTTGATGTGCTTTAAGGCAACTCCCTACAGTGATTTTGATCTTGAATCAGCCCAGATAAATAATATAGGGAAATGTAATTTAGCAGATATCCATTAAAATGAAATTCTTGTGTGGGGTGTTATTTACAGGTTCTCTGAATGTTACTTGTATTTACACATTTAGATGAATGTATTGTAACAAGGACACTCCACTGTAGACCAGAGGTGCAAGTCAGATGCAGTTTATTTGCTTTCAAAACGGTAGATAACCCGAAATCCTCTCAATATGGTTCACAAACCGGCAGCTCCCTGCTGCACTGGCCTCCACACTGACTCCAGGGTGGAGCTCTCCTGACTCACAGGTGGGGCCCTGAACACATCCCAGCACACTCTTCATGAGGGATGTACACAGGTGCACAATCAGGTGCTGGTCACTACCAAAGCATGGACCCAGGAATGGAGATTTCATCCCACCCAGAGCTATAAGAAATCTCCTGGCTCCAGGATCCCAACTATGATCCAGAAAACCTGGAAAGAACTGAAAAGGCAGTTCTCTCCTGGTACACGTACTGTCTTCCTGGAGCCACTCAGCCCCTCTGGCTGAGAACCCTGGGTGACTTTGAGGCCACCTAACACCGTGGTATTGCCTCACAATGCCACAGTATATAGAAAATATAGTTACACTATATATTTGCAAGCATTTCTAGTTTGTAAATATTGCCAATAGCATAATGCAAACAGAAAGGTCAGCGTCCCTTCAAAAAGTGTGTATTGTCTGATAATAGATTATGTTTTAGCCTTTAACAAATGTCTTGACTATATTTTCCACATATCCACTAATGGTAGCTCTGTTCTAAACACAGGTATTGTGTGTATTGGAGTAAAATGTATTATGGGACATTTTCACAAGAACATAATGAACAGTGTGAGAAGGATGCTTTTAGCACTGAAGGTCTTTTGTACTTCAATGGCCTCCTGCTATATTAGGCTAAAATGCCCTAGGCATTTCAGAAACACAAAATTATAGAGCAGGTTGCAGTTGCCTTAGCACTCAAAGCCTTCACATCTATTTTTTTTATTCTTTATTTATGAAATTTCACAAGAAGTAATGCTCAAAGATACATACATGAGAGAATCAGTGTAAACCAAAAACATGAACATAACAAAACATAACATAACACATTTCACACAACATAGGTAGGAAGCTGAATAGTATTAGAAAGATACGCCACCCGCAACAGTCATTGGGGTGAGCAACATGACCAAACTTAATGGGCATCCCACCCAGGGACAAAATCTTAATTTAATTAGCCAAAGAGAGGGAACGAGCAAAGAAAAACAGTAGGAGGAAGTAAAAGCACAGACAAGAGATAGAAGGGAAGGGAAGAGAAAAAGGGGAAAAAAAAACCCACTGAAGTTCCTAACGCTCCTACCCAGATCAAGAAAGTGGCCATGGCAATCCGGATGTGAAACAGAAGCTGCAGAGAGGAGGATACTCTATCCAAAAGGAGCGCACTAACAGGTTCAGGCAGAGACCTATTGGTTGTCAGATTCTCCCAATAGGTCTCCCTCTTCCGAAAAGCGGACAGAATGCCAATAAAACCAGGCTTTGTTGAAGGCATCCATTCGGTCCTGGCGTGAATAAATCCTGCACTCGAAACAATGTATTTCCTTAACTTTTTGCGGAGATTCCTGTCTACAACAGGCCTGAATTACAATTACAGTTTTTAATTATGTCAATTAAAATGTTCTTTCCTTTTTTTTTAATTTATTATAGCAAATAACATAAACATCTGACTTTTTTAGATAGAGATACGTAATGTTTGGTTTTCAGTTTCCCAATGATAGATGAGAAAAAAAACTAAATATTTTGAATCTTGGATGCCTTTATTTTAAATGCAGGGTCAAGATCATAAACTGGTAAAGAAGCATTTATTATATTTTTTTTATCAGGGTTAACAAGCTATATATCACACTGTGTTACATCTTGGAATTATTGTTAACCAGTCTGCATTATCATATACAAAATAGATGTAGACAACAATTTACAGATTTTACGCTTCCTCGTGACCAGCCTTATTTCTACACAACTATTCACTATTCCTTTCCCCTCAAAAAATACATTTTACAGCATCTTATTAATGCGCACAAAACCATGTATTCAGGCCTGTACTCATACTCACCCAAATGCTCTGATACTTACCCTGATACTGGAAATTCTAGTCAGAGGGAGATTCCCTCTGACCCGCAGTGCTGCGAGGGAGCATGGAGCCAGCTTCCCAGCCAATCAGGAAGCTAGCTTCCTGCTGCCTAGTAACACTGTGAGGCAGCCTGGCTTCCTGACCAATCAGGAAGCCGGGCGGCAGGTTATGATCCACCACCTGGCTTCCTAATTGCCTGGGAAGCATGTGATCTATTGAGAGAACACTGGTTTCACGCTCCCTGGTGACACTGCAAGGCAGCCTGGCTTCCTGACCAAACAGGAAGCCAGGCGGCGGGTCATGACATGCTGCCTGGATTCCTTATTGGTGAGGAAGCCCCGCTGCCTCACAGTGTAAATAGACAGCATGAAGCCAGCTTCCTGATTGGCCTGGAAATCAAAGTGTGCCAACTGGCCCACAATCTCTTTTTTTAGAGCATGCTAGTAGACATCAGGAAAGGGGTGCTAGTCATTGTTGCTTGCTATAGTTAATTTTTCAATAACTATGATATATTTTATATTTTTTGCTTATAAACCAATAATACCTGCAAGTATGTAATTGAAAATGGTATTAGAAAAAAAAGTAACATAAAAATCAAACAATGAATTCTATTTACTGAGAAATCAGAGTAAAGCTTATATTTAGTTATTGCTCATTATTATGCCACTCTTAAGATAATGCTGTTTGATAGGATTACAATTTCTAATTAAATGATAGAACAAATGTTATGGATATTGCTTGTTTTGCTCCTAAGCTGCACAGATAGCACAAAAATTTGGGTAGAGCACTCCATCTCCCACGTTTCATTACACTGTAATTTGTAAGTAACATTGTTTAATGTTTTTTTATAATGAAAAATAGTGAAGCAAAGAAAGCAAATGAGCCCTGTTTTGCTTTTGCTCTAGTTGCAGCGCAAAGTGAATAAATTTTTCTTATTAGGACTTATCAAGCACATATCAGTGTATGCATTACATTAATTGAATAAATTAACAAATGCATAAATATAAATTAACTTACCATGGTCGCCTTCTAACATCATAAAGGTCAATTTTATTTGGAGTTCTGCTCTTATCCACCCATGGAGACGCTACAAAACAATACATTTAAATTATTGAATTTTTATGAATGATAATGATTATTATGTTCATAGATTAAGTAACACATAGCATTACTCTTAATTGTCTACCATAAAAATGTTTCAAAAACTTATCCTGGTAATTATATGGAAAGCATAATGTATTATTAGTAAACATATGCTTTGAATAATATGTACAGTGTTTTATAGTGACATTTACATGCTTACTTTTATATACGTGTATTGAATTAAATGTAGAGTTTTATAGATTAGCCATTAGAGCACTGACACCCAACGTGCAGCCCTTTGGTACTTGTTATATGGACCCTTAGGCCCCAGTAGCCAGTGTTTTCATTTGAGTGATACACCAATAAGCTGCATTGTTATTATTAGTTAGGGTAACTGAATGCATTTTTATGCTTTATCTTCTGAGTTTAGAGTCACTTTAATTCTTGCAATGTTTCCCATGTGGATCTGATAAGAACAGAGTTAATCCACCATCAGTTATTGCTTCGATGTTGGGAAAAAGTAATATAGCTGTGTGTCTTTGTTATTTTTCTGTTAGTCAGTGACTTAAGTTTTATTCTGATCAGTTTTAGACAGCTGGTATGAATTACACTGGGCTTGTAGCGCAAGTGACTTAGCATTTACTGTATATGTGCAATGGGGTGCCATTCTACATTAATAATAGTGCTCTTATACACTTGCACATGGTAAACTGCAGTAAGATGCATGATTAACCACATGTTACCACAACAAAGCATAAAGCCAGGCTTAATTTCTTGCTACTCAGAAATTGAGCCCCTTGCTGGCAGTTATCTAAAGAGGCAAACGTGACGCTGAAGATTTTCAGTATCTTAGTTGTGCTGCTAAACTCGTTAGTGATTAATTGCTAGGAAGAGCAAATGATAGCTAAACACTTGTAACAAATGGCTCTATATAGAATACGCTTTTAAAGTAGCATGTAGTAGTACCGTTAATGAGAAAATATTTTTTTGTTACAAAGCAATGGACTTCAGTAAAGTATGTTTTGACCACAAGCACCACAGGAAGTGTTTTGGCTTGTACTTATATCTAATTATGACAAGTCTACCAGCAGTTATAGCCAAAACATTTACAAATATCATGCTTCTTCAACCTTTAATTTCCATTGCTTCTGCCTCCTTACAGTAATGTGAGTAAAGGGAGTTAAAGTGATATTAAAGTCATAAGGATTTTAAGCTATTTAAAATACAAATCACTTGCTACTCCTTCATGTTTAAATGTTTTACAGGGTTATTCACAAACGGGTGAAGAGTTTGGAGATGGCAGAAGAAGTGAACAATCTAGGACAAAATAGCGGATTTGGAAAAATTCTCCAATTCACCTCACTTTCCAGTTCAGCTATGTTGTCCTAGATTGTTAACTTTTCCTGCCTTCTCCAAACTCTTCACCCTTTTGTGAATAACCCTGTTAGTTTGCTACAAAATTGGCTAGTCCACTGAGTACTAGTCCTGACTCCCTGTTTTAGAGTGACTTTCAAGCAGAGAGCAATGCAGTCACCCTTGTGTGTATTCTAGTAAGCTGAGTGTGTCTCCACAAATGCACAGACACAGCAAATAAAGCTACTCCCCCCCAGCCCACTCTCCTGCCTTCTCCAAGCTGGTAGATGAACAATTGCTGGAGTCTGCTCTGTTCCTTGTGATCTTATACTGGAAAGGAACTTCAGGGAAGCTGAGCTGAGAGACTGGGAAGCAGCTGTTCTGAAACATGAAGTTTGTAAGTGTTTGGGCAAAAATTTAAAACAATGCTTTGCTGGACAATATATATTTGTTTGATCTAGATGCCTTATTGAGAAAAATTTGAGCGCTTAAAACTACTTTACTAAAAATATGGACACACACTGAACCTTATTTAAGCTTTGGAGTTGGCATTTGGATCCCATGTTCCCAAAACAGTATAACCACCCTTGAACTACTTACTAGCAGCATGAGGCCTAAAAGCTTTGGCACATCAACTATAGATACAAGTACAGAATTACTAATTGTAATTAAATAACAAACAGAATAATTGTATTGCACTGCAGCTAAATTAATCATCATTATTTCTATCATTTTATGATAGTGATTTCAAGATTAAAGGTTAAATGCAAGGGAGTTGTAAGGGCGTGGAGGATATTAGCAGCAAATTCTGTACAGACACTTGCTTTACAATGACGAATTGGTCTCCTGGCCATTAATTACTACTGGGAATAAATAATATGCTGGCAGCAGAATTAATAATTATTATAACTAATACAATTAGAATTAAATGATTTCTGTTAATATTAATAGTTTAAATGACTACACTGCAACCATTTACCCTAAATCCAAATGCTCATTTTTTTTCACTAATTATAATGGTTCTGGACACAAGCCTTTATAGTGTTTTTATATATGTGAGGTAGCAGGATATGGAGTGCCCAAGTTGATATTGACGTAATACTGAATTAATTCATAAAACTGTATTCCAAATAAGAGTTTGTTTCTTTGTTTAAATAATACAGTTTTCCAATGTAACGCTGTGAAATAAGCCACCAGGAATCAACCACTTCATAGAAACAAAAAAAGCAAGAATTACCATTTTACATTCTCATCGGAGCACCCTGCTCATTATCAACCTGCTTAACCCCTAGTAAATACCGATTACTACTTAAAAAAATTTACAACATTTTCAGACATATGTCACATTTTTTACAGTTTATCAGATCTGAAGATTACTCAGATAAAAATAATATTCTAATGGGATATCTGCCTGCACATTTTAGGGCATCATCCTACAGATGCAAAGAGTCTCTGCAGGGTCTGGAGAGGCTAATTAAGCCTAAATGTCTAATAACATAGAAATAGCAGCAGGCAGTTAATTAAATATTATATTTTATATAAACAGACCTGATTCATTAAGCATCAGCACTGTGTAATGCATGCTAAAATAGAATGTGTTGTACTTGCCATGCAGTAGTAGAGTAGTCTATTGTGTTAACCATCAATTGGTGCAGAACGTTTGGAGTTTAGGTGATACCCTGTATTGGCAAACTTAATCTATCACTTAAAACTCCAAACTTTTTGCACTTTCCATAAAATCTTTTTCTCTGTGTTCATTGAAGGACACAGTGGAGATCAAAAAGATCATGACCATAGGGCCATCTGAAGGAGTAAGATACTGGGTACAAAAACAAAAGCACTGCCCAGAGATGGGTCCCTGATGGTGGCTCAACCCCCATCTGCTAGAGGCAGCTCAGTTAGTCACAAAGCAGTACACAGAAATGGGAAAAAAGTGTCCCTGGCTGGACAGTCCCATTGCTTATAAATAAAATTACCAAAGAAGACGGTATATAATAAAACCTTACTGAGGCTTGTGGGTACTGAACAGGACAGAACTTTCTGAAGAGGTGCTTAGAGTAATCTCCATTTTAAGAGTTTTACGCACATACAGGTATTTGATTCAAATGGAGACCAATTGCCAGTCCTGGACAAGGGTCAAGGTGGAGATCTCATCCTCACTGCCTGAGTGAGTGGAAGTCATGAGAATAGGATGAACAAAATGCAAAGGCCCCATTGATGGCCTCAAAGGAAGAAGGAGAATGCAGTAATGGAATTGGGTATTTATTAAGCACCTTACATTCAAGCACCTGTTTCACCCACAACACCCTGAGGCATTTAATGGAGAACCAAAGGGAGAAAGGGATGCATGTTCAGCCATGGCAGGCTTACAATTGCAGCGCACAGGGTCCAATGGGGAACAAGATGGAACCACCCCACAAAAGGAACACAAACTTAAAAGGGTCAGTACCCAGAGGCTCTGTAAAGGTGGAGCAGCTCATCCCATTATCTGACTAAGCAATGAGACCAGCACTTGCCAGTAGTGATAATGAAAACACAAAAAAAGAACCAGAGTTCTGCCACAGACAGAGAGGGATGGGCCCAAGCAAACACACAGCACTCCAGGATCCTCTGTGCTGAAAAAAAAAAAGAAAAGGGGTGCCTTATTGCATTCCAAATTGAAATGCTGCCCTATATCCCAGTATCAGGGGAAAGCACCAGAGATGACCTAATCAGCCAACTATGCCTACAGGAAGAAGGCAGGCAGAGCTCCAATGTACAAATAGAACAAGTGGTCATGCCACATGCAGCCTGAGGGATAAGGCCTTTCCCTACAATGATAAAGTGCCAGTGCCAGCAAAACTAGTACACTGCACTGTTCTAGTACCCCATGAAATGTGCCCTGATACACCTGAGTCCTGTGGCAGAGCCTGCACTACATGAAACACCTTCAGCGTACAGTACCACAAAAGGAAAAAGCTTCTTTGACAGAGCTGCTGAAGGCAGCCGTGTGAATAACCGACCCGAAGTGAAGTGAGAAGACCGTTGTTCGGCTATTCACTTCAGGCTTGTACGGCTAATTTCAGCTGTACACCAACTGGAATCAGCCGTACATTGGCTTGCTGCAGATGGGTTCGGGTCGGGCGAACATGCTCAGCATGTTCAGACCACCTGAAGGGCAGAAGGAGTTTGACTCAGGTGATCCAACATCGGGATCGGCTCAGCTAAACCACTGGCAGGCTACTCGCTGCTCTCACAGGGCCCGAACAGCAGTGAGTGAATAGCTGAATGCCGCCGAGCGGCATTTGGCTCGGCTATTCTGCTTTGTACCTCAGTGGTCCTGAGCAGAATAGAAAAAAAAATAGAAAACGATGAGCAGAGCCGGAGGTGATATGAAAGCTGACTCTGCTGAGTTCTCATGGTACTGACAGATCAGCATCCCCTGGTTACCAAGTAAGAGAGATGACGGCTGGCTCTGCCCAGCTGTCAGCCAGCTTCGGCTTTCACCTCGGCTCAGTCGACTGAGCCGCTCGGCCAACTTTGGGAGCTGTACGGGCTATAGTGAATATGGGGCCAAAGCTAGCCGAAGGATCAGCTGAAGCTACAGCTAGATCCTTTGGCAGCTTTGTGAATAGACCCCTTAGTCTCCGTTGTGTGCTTTAATGAATGTAA